CATCGCGGGCGCGGGAGGTCATCAGCGATGCAAGGAAAGCGCAGAAAGCACCAACTAAATTCCATCATCGCCCAGATGAAATGACCTGTTTGGCCTGTGCAAATGCTGAAGTACTCTTCTTCTGCAGAGCATGTCGACATGGAACATGCCTTGACTGCTACCACGATGCCAGTAACCATTGTTCCTGCAACAGCATTTATCTCTGTTCGACCGTCCCAGACGCCGATATGCCGGCACCGCTGGGTGAGCACGAGCGCGAAGAGATCACTGCAGAAATTGATTTCACGATTCCCTTCGCAGCCGAGTCCGAGGGTTGGCATCCTGACGACCGTCATGTCGGTCGATTGCACCGTGGCGGCTCAACAGGTTATGCCGCGATGGATCGAATTGTACTCAAAGGAGTCAGCAAATACCATTACACGAACCATCCAACCTACAGGAGCCGTACCATTCCCTCGATTGCTCAACATTGGGACGAACAGTCTGATGTGGCACCATACCCAATCATTCGGCCAAGCTGCTATTACGACTCCAATCGCCGATATACCGGCGCGGAGATGCGACAGATTGTCGAGCTAAGCCGTTCGCACATGCAGGGATATCGCGCGAACCAGGGAGTATTTGACCTCGATGAATCTGAAGCCCGGCTTCTCCGGTCCACTGAGCACGTCAGTGTCCTGCTTCTCAACTTCGGCGATATCAATCGTACACCTCATTTCAACGGCAGGCAGCCGCTATCCAGGGATCTCGCCGAGACCGATCAATACCATGTGCTTCCTCATTACCTTGTCAGGAACACAGCCCATATCACAATCCTTCTTGAAGCCAACGGCATCGAGCGTCGTCGAGAGCTCTTTAACCAATACAAATGCCTGTGCGTGTTGGCTACATCGGATGGCGAATCTCCCGCTATCGCAGCCGTATGCTCCAGTGATCCACTTGGCACTTCAAGGCTGGAGCTCATTCGTAGGATTGAACTTGAAGGCGAACGGTTAGCCTGGGTAGCCCATGCCGCGACATTCCGCGTGATCTGGGGAAAGGTCGAAGAAGAGACAGATGGAGGCATCACCGATGACCGTGGCGTCCGAAAGAACCTCCGTGTTGCCCTTGAAGAAGGCGCTGATCCAGCAAATAACATGGAGGCAACAGTCTGCCCTGACACATTAGCTGTAGCACAAGCATCCACCACATACATTGAAGCTTCGCCAGTGGATGCAGAGGCATTGTTCCACGAGTGTCCGACATTCCGGACCGGGAGCTTGAATGATTGCAAGCGCACGCACATGCCTGAACTTCGAGTCTGCGCTTTCCACATCAATGCTCATGCCTTTCAGTCAGGTATTACGGCCGGCAAGAACGCCATCATGAAGATTTTGATCACGGCCGTGGCAGACCAGGTGGACGTCATCGCGTGCGATGCTAATCAGTTCACGAACCGCAACTTCCGGGGCGATCGACATGCCGATCCAGGAACCGGAGCAGTCCTAACCATCCTTGACCAGATTCTTGTTTCTGCGAACAAGAAGCGCGAGCCGAGTAAGCGCATCACCTATAACTGGGAGGTCTCAACCCTCGCCAGTGAGCAGCTCGCTGCTTTGGAAGGTCTGGATGCCGATTGCGACTGCGCGTGGCAGATCGCCTTAAATTACGGCAAGGACATGCATACGTTGCGGTCAAGAACATCCGATATTCCGGATGATCGTGGACGTGTCGGATATGAGGAGCCTCCACGCCAGAAAGAGACTACCATTAAGGTCAACGAATTCCTCAAGCACCTGAACCATCTTGATCTGTGTCTGAAGAGCAGCGATTTGGGATACCGTCATCCATTTCAGTGCAATTTTTCGCTTGCCAGCCGACACAAGATCAGAGTTCGTGGCCAGCAATCCGCCGAGAAGCGTGGCGAGAAGAATGCCGAGCGGCTGAACGTTTGAAGGAACAGTCTCGGCAGAAGAAACAAGCTCGCCAAGCTGGCTGGCACCAGCCCTGGTCCTCGGGAGCGTCAAGCTCATGGTGGTACACCGGTTCCTCTTCGTCATCTTGGAACCCCGGGTACCGAGGCTACAGGGACTGGTAGGTAGTCTCTGCTCTAAGAAGCCGATATACCGGCTAGAGCACTGCCAGATAAATGCCACAAGGCTAAATGCAGGTAAAATGACCCAGATAATTTTGAACTTAAGGCCTTATAGATTAGACTTCAATTTGATGATTTGACTTGAGAGAGAAGATTTCCGACATTCCGGAACGTTCGATACAGCAAATATGCCTTTCGTAGATTTGTAAAGATTATCTGACGCAATATAGATGAGCCAGAATGGCATCTGCGGTTGAGTTCTGCGAAGTCAGAACTTTTCGAATTCATTTGCAACGTTTTGCGAACCTTTTGTACTTTAGAGATCGTAAGCTTCGACGCGAAGAAAATTTGTGTCTGTTTTGTGTTTAGTAGGGTCCTAGGTTCCCCTGGGCGTGTCTACGCTATACGTGTGTAGCACCTGTTCTTGTACATACATCTATCTGTAGCTCTTCAGTCCGCTTTCGACATAATTCATTTGGCTCAAGACTCAGCAGCCCAATACTGCATTCACTGCCATAGAAAAGGTGTGCTTCGCCGCAGCTCGCACACCGACCGCTTGTGTTTGACTGCTTGGTGTTTTCGATCAGGTCCAGTTATTCCAACTGCCACTTCTGGGGGAACTTACCCCTCACCCCTCCACTCCACTCCCCTCCCCGTCCCCTCCCCTCGTCGCCAGCACTACTAAATTCTGGACATAAGGTGAAGTCATGCGCTTAACAGTCACAGCAGTACGACGCTGGCCATGAGGTTGGGCAATACAGCACGAACCCTGCGCAATGAGGTCGCGCAATGCAGCTTCGATGCCGCGCGTGCGCACCCGGCAGCCTGACACAGCGCGTACTGCGTTCACAGACCATATTGCTCGACACCAACGAGCATCGATGCAACACAGCCTCTCTGCAAAGCCCTGTGGAGAAACCTCTCGCGTCGCGGAACACCATTCGACTCAGCCTTATACCCTAGCGTGGCGAAATCTTACCGCATCGTGGAGCGCACCCACCATAGCATGACGTCCATCCCTGGCAGTACCGGCCGCACCCCTCCAGCACTATCCTTACAAGGGGGTTGGTCACTGAGTCACTGCGGCTTCGACGCAACGCGTGCAGGCCTGTAATCCTGACACAGTGCGTGCAGCTGTGGGACCATAGCTGGTACACATGCGAGCGTTTACGCATTGCGACTTTTACGCGCGCCTGTTTTCACACACCTAGACACAAACGAGCGTCGACGCAACGCAGCCTCTCTGCAGAGCCGTGTGGCGCAATCTGACCGCAACGGAGTTCCTCTTGAGCCTTCTTATGCCTTCTTGTGCTCTCTGGCTTTGTTGGTTTCATCCATGATTGACCAAGGGGCACGTTCCTGAAACACCGGAGGCAGTCCCTCACCAGAAAAGGTCCCGACAGCTACTCGGTCCGTCTCTACCTTTCGTGTTTCCCCCTCAAGTTGTATGTGAGACACCAAATCTGACAGTGACGGTTAATTTCAATCAAGGTTCCAATGTTAAAGCAACTTCCACGTGCAACTTCATTTGTAGGTGTCCTTTGCAGGTTCATAACCGATGTTTGCGCGGCCAAAACTTGCAAGTGTTGACGTCCAAAGTTCCACAGGAACGATGCAAATCAGGTTCCGGGAAGAGTTCCGAAAAATGGTTTCGCAAGCGCGGCCTGTGTAAATCTTATGCATGGAGTCTACGCAGAGGGTTTGTGCACAAACAAAAGCTGCATACAAGCCAGTCAACATCTTATTTTTAATTTGGCATGAATTACGGATAGTGTTTTTCAGTAGTTTGGGATGAAGTGGTTCGTATTTTGTATTGGAGACAGTTGACGTTTTCTAATGACACGAGGGACCGGCAGGCCAAAATTCGGACCATTTTGCTCGCAATCCAGCCGTGATTGATAAGGACATAGGGTTGTAAGAGTTGTTGTGTCGAAGCTGGACTCAAGAATCATTGCCAACAATGCACACTTTTCATGCTGTAAAAGGTATGCGTCCAGTTGATTTTTTTGTTTGTTTGTTACTTCGTGCATCAACAAAAGGTGGGTTTGTTGCAAGCACCTGTGGAAAGACACGAGATGCTTCTGATGTGATGGAAGTTTGCCTGGAAAAGACCGTGGCTTCACAAGAACCAGAGGATGCTGAGGGTTTTGGGCCTTTGTTTCCTATTCCAGTTCTGCAACCAGATGCAGCAGGCTACGTTGCTACCCCAGAAGAGCGTCTTTTTGACAAATTATTGCCTTTGGCTTTGAAATCTGTCCGAGATAAACAAGACGGCAACCGTTCTTGCAAGTTATCTGGCAAATTTAGAGGCGCAGTACGCAAAATTTTGAGGGCGCGCCAGAAAGTTGTGTGCTTGCGCAGTGTGATCAACACTATACTCGGGCCTCGAGTTCGTGATGTGGAATCGCAACTTCAAGACATAGCGACTGCCAAGAAACTGCGGCGAGAGAAGGTGAAACGCTTTTTTGAAAACTATCGACCTGCCCAGGTGTCGCGGGAGGTTCCAGTAGGTCAAGTGATGGAGGATATGAGCAGCAAACAGTGCACCTCTCTGCTGGAAACGCAGTGCCGATTCTGGCAGATTGCTGAAACTGCAGCTGGTAAAGGAGGTGACCGAGTTTCTCTGAAGCCTGAATTGACAGTTGACCGTAGCAAACACTCCTGGATTTCACGGGGTGCCAGGGAGCGAAAGAACCAGCGTTGGAACCTTGGAGAAAAGCTTCGTCAAGCAGATGATTCCAGCCAGGGAAGGTGGGATATAAGATCCTCCACCAACTTGAAGCATTTCCAGCCAGCTACCTCGTCTAAGTGCGTGAAGACAACAGTGCGCATGGAAGTGGGACTTGGGAAATCAACATCGCTGCCATCAATACACACTCGACATGGGGGATTCGGCAAGCCAGAGCGTCGTCAAAGAGATACTGCCATGGCAACAACTTTCACGGAGATGTGGAAACCAGAAGCAGCTGCAAAACAGAAAGCAGTTGAACCCATGGCGAGGTATATGACTGCATGTGAGCAAGGCAGCATTTTGCCCACACCTTTGGACTTCATTACATCTGGCTCCACCAAACTTGATGCGGCCAACTGGGCCTTGGCAGACAGCGACATGATCCCCGTTGCGACCATGTTCCGCGCAGTCCCAGAAGTTCATGAGGTTGACCTAAGCGCAAACACCCTTCTTACGGACAAGTCTCTAGTTCCCTTGCTTCAAAAGATGAGGAGAAATCCAGCATGTTCAACATTGACACGGTTGAGTTTGCGCCAGTGCTTTCGCTTGGGTGCATCTTCTGTTGAGGAAATCATCCGTCTTGTTTCAAACTCAGATGGATTGACCAACCTGAAGACTCTAGATGTAAGCGGAATTCCATTGCCTGTTCGCCTCCAGCAAGACTTTTTCTTGGCTCTGGGAGAGCATTCCAACCTGGAGAGCTTGATGTTGGCAGATATTGGGCTTGGCAGCAATCCTGTGGCAAAGAAATGCTTGGAGACGCTCTTCAGATGCAATACCTTGGTAGGATTAGACTTGAGCTGGAATGCATTTGGGGACGAGGTCTTTGGCTCTGTGGGCACCTACGTTTCGCAGGCGCACGTGCATCTTAGGTCTCTTTCCATGTCAAATTGTTCGTCAGCAAACATTGACACCACAGATCTAGATCGCCAGGGTGACCAGGCCAAGCCATTTAAGCCCGTCAACCTAATGTTGGAGTGCCTTTGCAAAGCCAAGAGTTTGACATATCTAGATATCTCGATCAACCGGTTGGACTTGACGGCGGCATTGATCTTGGAAGATGCACTTGGCCAACATCCCAGCCTCCATGAACTTGACGTCTCTAGGAATCCCTTCGGTGCCCTTGGTGCTCACTCTATGCTGAGAATGTTCGCAATCTCCAAGATAGAGCGCTTGCATTGCACAGAGAGCTTTGACGTCGGAGATTTGAGAGGACAACCATTTCAGCTCGCCAATCCTGAAGGCGTCTATTCCTTGAATCTGGCGTTACCGTTTCATCGCTCAATCCTGCGGATGCTCTTGAAGTACTGTAAGATGCTGCACTTGTCTGCAAAGCAAGCGTTCACCGAGTGCTCATCTGCCTTGCCGTCTTTTTCGGAAGATGAGGATGGCATCTTCCAGGTGCCACGCAGTGGACGGCTGAGCTTTACATTCAGCAGCACAAAAGCCCAGAGCCCGGATATCTACCAGGACCGGTTGAATGTTTGGAAGTGTTGGGAATGTTCACTTAGACTGTAGATTCGTAGATGAGCTTCCGTCCATTTTCAATCGTAGATGAACTCAAAGCTTCCTTCACCCATCAGCAATGCCTCATATACTCACAGGCCACATGTATCATGCACTTACGGCATTGTCTTCTTTCGAGTTCTGTGCCAGGAGCCCGAGGGGACATCTGCCGCGTGACCTGGCTGAAGAATGGCTTTTGCAACACTGCAACACATTAGCCCCATTATGAAAGCTAGCAGCACCTGTTTACTCTCTCGGCATGAAACCATGGTTTGGGCCATCACAATGGCCAATAGATAGCCCATGAGGCAACTTCGGAGGAAAGCCTTAAGTACTTTACACCTGCTGCTGTTGCATAAGGTTGACCGAGCGCCTCAAGATGTGCAAAGTTCGTTTGCAAATGGAAAAAGCTGTGCCCGAACCTCAACGGGTTGTCATGAGTGCTTGAAAGGTTAGTTTTCATTTGCGCGCGAGTGACAGCAACACGAGGCTCATGATCCCAATCTTTGAGTCTCTTCAGGACCTATTCTATATGAGGAAAGAAACAGCGAAAGAAAAAAGATAAACAATAAATAAATAAAGAACGAAAGACGGCAGAAAGAAAGAACAAAAGAACGAAAGAAATATATAATGAAATTAATAAAGAAAGAACATAAGTAAGTACGTAAGTAAGTAAGTAAGTAAGTAAGTAATCAAGTAATTAAGTAATTAAGTAATAAGTACAAAGAAGGAAAGGAAGAGAACGAAAAGGAAAGGAAAGGAAAGGAAAGGAAGAGCAGGGAAGGGAAGGGAAGGGAAAGGAAAGGAAAAGAAAGGAAGAAAGCAAGAATGAAAGCAAGGAAGGAAGGAAAGACAGCTTAAAGATTTTGGACAAAGAAACACAAAGGAAGTTACCTTTCTGTAAATGAACATTTACTCACAGCCACTGTCTGTTTGGTTCATTGCACTGGCGAGGACAAGCTTCCCCTCATCGATGCACTGGCAAAGGTGTGGGGTTTGCCATGTGTCCTCACTGCTTTTGCCATAGATATGCTAGGTGAAGCCAACATGTCGTTGTGATGAACGACACCAGTTTTCAGGGCGCCAATCGTTGACATTTGCACAATTCTATTCGTTGCTGCAGAACTTTGTCCTGGACTTTACCCATGTGGAGATGCTGTGCCAGCTGCTCTGGTTCTGTATTTTGTTGACTTGAATTCATGTTTGCTTCTGTCTACTGAGGTAACTTGGGCAAGTCTATGATGGTGCCAACTATAATTCTGAGGCCTTGGGACAGAAGACTATCAGAGCCATCATCATGTCAATGTGGTTCTTGTTTATGAGGCAGTTAGAGTTGAGTCTTGGAGGCTTCTGCATACAACCGCTTCCTCCAAGTTGGGTCGCACCTTGGCAGGGTTGGTGAGACTTACCGCCCTTGGAAAACACACTTGGCTATCAGAACGCAGGCTACTTATGCAGCCTCCTGACAAGCAGCAAGGTTTGGTTTGCGAGCTGTGCGTTTCTTCACCAAGCTCCAACAAGCAGAGACTTGACTGCAGGTTCAATATTTTCAGAACCAGCGGCGTGCGCAGGGGACCCAGAAATCAGCTGAAGCCTTTCAGATTCTGCAGATGAGAGCAGCGCACTCTAAGGATGTTGTCACTGACCTTCACTCCTACCAATCCATCGATGCACTATGCACTGGTGATGGAGGAGCCATGTGATTTTCATATTGTCCGGGGCTTTGGCACAACTATTTTGCAAAGGAGTGTGTGGACAATAACAAACATCAATTTAGTCAAGAGTGTAAACAATATTTTTGGCTGTTTGATGTTGATGTAGAATGCCGCTCCTTTTCTTTGAACAGTTTGTGACTTTGGGAAGCAGTCGAGCAGTGCTTCTTTCCCAGGTCGAGAGCTTGAGAGTCCTTGACAGATGGGAGACAAACATTGCCATGCGCCATGAACTCAGTGAGACTCAGGCCACCCGGCAGTTTTGGACAGCATGGACATGATTGTCAAATTTGGTGCTTAACAACTGAGGTCAGGGGTTGGTGGACAACTCCCAGAAAGGCAATCAGTCGCAGGCCTTGACCTAGTGGGCAAGACGTGACGAAGAATCAAGGTGTCCATTAGAAAGCGTCAATAGGTCTCTCTGTCGGACATGCTAGGTTCGCAATGAGCTCTTCGACGGCCGCAGACCAAACTTCAAGTCGATGCCGGATTGGCAGCTGCCGTTGCCAAGCCCTGAGAATTCCGTCATGGTATCTTGAAGGGTTGTGCGAGGGAAGACTAGGCTCGAAGCTCTTGCTGAGGCATGGAAAGCTAGAGCCGGGCACCCTTTTAGCATGTTTCATTCGCCTAGAGTAGCCAGATGCCTCACTTGCACCACTTGCCTTCTCTTAGGTTTGATTTCGTTGGTGGGCCACGACCTCCTCCAGGTTGGGAGGGCAGCTTGATCACTTGATCTGCCAATCAGAACTTCTGTGAAGTATCAAGCCAATGAAAGACCGAGGTGTCGAGCCAATGAGAGATAACTGTTTCTATGAGTTTTACAAACAAGTTCAACATGTGTGTGGCAGCCCAGGTGTCAGATGCTGTAAGTTGGTTCCACAGTAATAAAAGCCAAGCTTTCAAGGACTCGCGGTGGTTGTGACTCATGGCAGCAGCCAGGAACCGAGTAGACTCTGCTTTCCGCGCAGCGTTTGCAGACAGACTGTTGATGTACGATTGCTTTCGAACTCTTGCGCAGCAGACTGCAGAGAAACTATTAGCTTCTTGTTACTAGTAGCAATGGCCACCACCGTACTAGCTTCTTGCTACTAGTAGCGATGGGCTCCAACCTACTAGCGATGGGCTCCAACCTACTAGCTTCTTGCTACTAGTAGCGATGGCCTCCAACCTACTGGCTTTTTGCTACGAGTAGCGTTTGCCTCCAACCTACTAGCTTCTTTCTTCTAGTAGCGATGGGCTCCAACCTACTGGCTTCTTGCTACTAGTAGCGACGGCCGCCAACCTACCGCCTTCTTGCTACTAGAAGCGATTGCCTCCAACCTACTGGCTTCTTGCTACTAGTCACGAAAGCTAGCACCAGCTAGCTGGAGTTGTCCTTGCTTTAGCAAGGAGGGGCTGGAATCCTCGAGATCGCCGCATCACGTGAAAACTTCATATGTAAAGGGCCACCCCCCCCGCGGGTTCAACTCCCGCCTGGGACGCCTCTGGGCATGACACCTCTTGGACACCTCTTATGGCATCCACTTTGGTTCAACTCCTCTGTGGAGGTTTTGGGATACGATGCAACAGATTCGACAGATTCACAAGCTAAGGTTGGCTGTGTCATTGCTGTTCGTGTGTCTTACATGTTCACAACGTTTTACCTTATGAGCGAGACCTTGTGAACCATCCCTCCAACAGCCCCATGCCTATGAAAAAAGATTTGCCTCACTCCGCTTGATGTCCCACCAGTCCTTTGTCACTGGACGGTGCTGTATGCTTCGCCTCCACTGACACGGATGCATCCCTGCTAGCTTTCGTCACCTACCCTCGGCCTCAAGTAGCGACGGCCGCCAACCTACCGGCTTCTTGCTACTAGAAGCGTTTGCCTCGAACCTACTGGCTTCTTGCTACTAGTAGCGATGGCCTCCAACCTACTAGCCTCTCGCTACTAGTAGCGATGGCCTCCAACCTACTAGCTTCTTGCTACTAGTAGCGATGGCCTCCAACCTATTGGCTTCTTGCTACTAGTAGCGTTTGCCTCCAACCTACTAGCTTCTTGCTACTGGTAGCGATGGCCTCCAACCTACTGGCTTCTTGCTACTAGTAGCGATG